CTGCCAAAAGGAACAACGTGTGTTATAAGCCCAATAGGAACACATCATAGTCCTGATTTATACCCAAATCCTCAGACTTTTAATCCCGAAAACTTTAGCCCAGAAAATGTCGCTAAACGTCATAGATATAGCTTCATTGCTTTTAGTGGTGGTCCAAGGAGTTGCATAGGTAAAATAATAATTTGAAAAATCATCATGTTGTATAATCCACCTATATATTCTAATACTATTGTACTTAATTTGAAACCATACAGGATCCAAATATGCCATGTTGTCCATGAAAGTTACTTTGTCAACGTTTTTACGAAATTTTAGCGTACATACAGACATCAAATTAACAGACATTAAGCTAAAGTTAGATTTGTTGATGAGAAGTGTACACGGTTATCCCGTGACGATTCGGCCACGAGACAAAAGACCAACATATAAACGAAATTATAATCATCAAGAATAATTTACAATTATTGATAAATATGATTATTTTGTTATATTTCAATATTAAGTATATTTTCTGATATTTTAAGTATTTTTGAAGTTATATATCAATTATTAAATTTTAATGCATCTCTTGTTTTTTATCAAAAACAACTAGAAAGTTAGCTATGTAATTTTAATTAAATAATCACTGTGTTTGAAAAAAATATTCAGACTGAAGACTGTCTGTCAGCTTATAATAATACTATATGACGTAAATTGAATGATCTAATAGTAATTAAAGTAATTAAATTACTGTCATACATTAGTAGTTATTAGTATGAAAGTAGTTTAAATTTATTATTGATAATAAAATTACATTTGATAATTTTATCACTATTTATGTTTAACTTCTATTTTGTATTCTTAGTTACATATCATATGTAATTTATTTATTAATATTTTAAATAACGTTTAATTTTTATTTGAGATGGTGGTGTTGGTCAGCTGTGCCATAAGTATCAAGTCGAATTTGAAAATGCTATTATGGGTATACTATATACAATATAGTAATATAATCTACAAGTTTCAAGTATCCACGAATATTATTTTTAAATTACAACAAAATATTAAGACCCTTTTCGTTATTTTTAGTTTAATATGTAATTTTGACTAAATTGTATTTCATAATTTCTAAAAAAATGAATTACAAAGCAGTTGGATAATTTTAATTCAATAATCGTTGTAAATGAAAAGCGATCCAGAGCGAAAACGGTCAGCTTATAATATTACCATGTCCCGGTGAGGAGAGGCGTTTATTTTGATTTATATAGTTCATGACTAGTCGTGGGAATCCTTGTAGTGATTTAGGATATCACTGTTCGTATTAATCTTATAGTCTATTTCTTTTTTAGAATTTCATCAGTTGCATTGTGAAGCTGATTAGAATTATTATGAATCGGGGCATGAGTACGAAAGTTATTTTTATTTATAACCCATTGACTTTAAATCGGACATCGTTATTTGGAGATAGCGAGTATCGGTATTGGGTAATTGAATCGATAAACCAGTTTGCCGATAACGATAACGAGCCGCCCGAGTTAAAAGCAATTAATTATATCACCAATATGATGATTTCGGGAGATTCACGGTTTCAATCTGAGTAAATAAACTTTTCGTTGAAGATTGAGAATAATCGAATATTTTGGTACTTATAAAAAAAAGATCGGAAGTGTTTGACTCACATAACTCATGAAGTACGCACAACAACGAAATGACACGCAGATGGCATACATGACGAGACCAGTTACTGAAGTTAAACGTTTAATTTGTATTTTTTGTTTTATATTTTATTATAATATCTACTTTATATTATATTAGGCTGTTTACTATCAATGAAGGTATTTTTTGTCGTGCTTTTTCCTTAATTAATTAGCATTGCTAAAAGTTCAATAGCCGATAAGTATCTCGAATGGCTTTAAAACACAGATAACTTGCTTGCGAGAAAATGCACCAATGAATATTATAATATAATATGCAATTAGTCCATCACTCGTTGGCTGTTCCACAGTTCACAAACGCATTTATTTTACCCGTCATCGTATTAGCACAGAACAATAGTACTAGATAAACAAAGCTAATAATAAATTATACGATATGGTCCTTGGAATATTATTAATCCGATCATATCCTGTCAACATTTGATATTTTAATGATACCTATATACACCAAACTATTATTTATTATTCAAATTTATTGCTAAAAATTGAAATTTTTATCATTATCATATATATATTATATAATTTTGTGTGATTTGATATACTTTATAAAATCTTCACTAGATAGTAGATAGTCAAACTAATTTTATACCTGATTAGTGATAATCAATATTTAATTTATATTTCATGCAGTTTTTTATGAAATTTTAGAACCCTACAATTATCACTAATTTGAAACAGGTAATATTTTCTCGTAARACGAGTAAACTAAATTGGTACGACTATCAATTATACGTGTTGTGTATTTTGTGTTAGTAGTTTTTGAGTGTTTATTGTTAGGTTTTATAGATACAATGAATTCAAGCAGTTATTAGAACTGCGAGTATTCCCATCGATGAAAAATGAGTAAACAATTATAGGTATAAAGACAGTTATTAATAGTTAGTTAAATTTATATTAGATGTAGAAGTTAGTATATCTACAAAATGTATCACATAATTTAAGTTCACAGTTCTAAATATTAAAACATAACATACCTAGGCACATATTTAATGATTATTATTATAATTATATGTGATACGCTGGTACCTTTACACATTAGAATTATTTATATAATTGTATTAATTTTGTTTTAAAGTTTTTATTTTTTTGGAATTTACGCATTCCTAACTACTATTCAATGGGGACAATTATTCTTATAAAATTATGGTTTCATATCATATTAAGTATATTAATTTTATACTGTTAGGTTACAAATTTTATATTTTTTAATTATTTTTTTATTTTAAAGTTGTATAAATTTTTGGGTATATGACGCATAACTATTATTTAATATATAATTAAGTTTATTATTATAAAAATGTCTAAAGTATTATCTAATTACTATGCCGATTTGATTGACAATAGTTACATACGAATGAGCAAAATGATTAAGTCATATTATACATTAATGAGATCATTTACTACGTTCATATTAATATATGACTCATTAATTATTTATATTGAAGTTTCATAACTCCAATATGTGGTAATACAATTGTATTTAAATTTATTCATCTAGATCAAAATACTTTATGTTGTTGACGAAAATCTCAATATCAGCATTCTTGACATTTTAGCGTACTGACAAATGTCAAATTATGTTTGCTCGTTATGTTTGCAATTTATTTTATTTTTGTGGTAAAAATGTTTTAAATGTATTATTTTTAATTTAATTTAGTGAGAACGTTGAGAAAGAACACAATTGAAAACATGAAATATATTATTTTAAGTATATTCTCAAAAGATTCACATTTAATTAAATTTATAATTTCATAAATAATATTTTAAAAATTACATATCAATTGAGTATACAAATTATATTAATGATTATGTTACTCAGATCGTGTTTGATCATAAAAATATAAAACTTCAATATTATTATGTAGGTATATTACAATATTAATTTAATTCAATTTTAACGACAGGATCAAAATAAGCCTTGTTGTCCACGGGAGTCATTGCAGATTCAACATCTTTTCGACATTTTATCGCACATACAGGTATGAACTTTACAAACTTAAGTTAAATTTTGGTTTATTGATAAGAAGTTTCAAAATTATCTTTTTGAGATTAGATTTCGACTAAAAAACAAAACACCAACATATTTCGAATAACAAACCGCTAGGATAATGTACAATTTTCCACCCCACAGAGAACAAAAAACAAAAAGTTACTCAATATATTATTACGGATTTTCTGATAATATTGATTGATAAAGGCAGTTGCGTTATTTTTGTGTGGAGTATCGCTGCATTTTAAAGTAAGTCGAAAAACATAGATTTATCTTAGGATTTTTAAAAATTTAACACCCCCCCTCCCCTCTCAAATATATTATTGAAAATAACTGGTTATTGCAATAAATGAATGGCAACAAAAATCTAGCGGATACAAGTATTGAAAAATAATACTTATATAATCATTGATAACCAATAATTTCATGTATAATTTAAATTAAATTTTTGTAATTAAGACTAGATTGATATATTGACGTGGATATTGTAATATTGTGTTGTATGTTTTTATAATAGAATCGTATTTGAAAACAGTCAATCGACGGATATAAAATTAAAATTGATAATGATTGAATTAATTGTCTACATGATTATTGTTGTTCTTGTGGTGATTTGGTGTTACCACAAATGGCAAAACAGACACTTTGAAAAATTGGCTGTCAGAATGCCAGGACCCCCAGCGTACCCGATCATAGGAACAGGATATCAATTTATAGGATCATCAGAACGTAATGAAAATAATAATGCATTGAAACATATTAAATGTTCTACTATTTTTATTTATTTTTTTATTTATTCAGAAATAATGAGCAAAATAATTGATAATGCGAAAAAATATAATCTAGAGCCTTTTAGAATATGGCTAGGACCATATTTTGCAGTTGTCATCGCTAAACCAGAAGACTTACAAGTAATTAGTTTTTTAAAGTACCTAATATATAAAAAAATAATGGTGTAATGTTATTTAAATTAAACTATTAGATTAGTTTATGCATTAATGTTTGATAAGCCTAATAGTTATAGGTATTCAAAATTACACTTTTTGAATATTTTTAGACTAATAAATACAATTTTAAATTTTAACTAAATTTTTTCATTTCTAAATATTATAATAAACTTAAAAAAAWAGTTATTATTATTTTATTAATTTCATTTTCAGATTGTTTTTAATAGTTCAAAGGCTCTACAGAAAGACCGAATGTACGAATTTTTCAAGAATGCCGTGGGTGAAGGTTTGTTTACTGCACCGGGTAAGTTSAATTCAAAAGTTTAAATTATTTGCATTTCTTCAAACTATAAATAAAAGTAATTCTTATTGTYAGATATGAAAAGGTTTTTAATGTAATTTAATTACAATTCAATATAATTTAAAATGATTACAGTTGAAAAATGGCGGATAAACCGACGCATGATCACTCCTGCTT